GAATAGAATTTGTTTTGTATGCTCATGAAGCACCATAAGAAAACACTTGTTAATGCACCTAAGATTTTCCTGAAAATTATTAATCCTAAAAGCTTCCCAGTAGAGTTTCGAAAACTTTCCAGTGAGGAAGCAAAAGTATTCAACAACCAGATAAAAGAAGTTCCTTCACAACTCTGATTTTTTCTAGCAACTCTGATAACAAAATATCAAGGTTTCAGATACCTTTAGCATACATAAAGAATACAGTATCCGAATTCAATAGTTAGAGAGAAAAGGGATTATGGAAAAAATATGCACCGCAACAGTGAGGCCTCTGAAAATATCCAAGGAAGCCACTCGTTTAGTCTTTGTCTTGTTCTGAGGCTTCTCTTCAACTTCTTTTACTTCTTCTCCCTTGTCTTGCAGTGCTTGAGGAGCTTCTATGGTGACATGGTGCTGTTCTTGAGTCATACCTTCTTTGGTGTCTGCCATTTGAAGCCAATTTACAGAAAACCAAAGTTCTATTTACTGTATTTCAACTCTACTAGTCTACTACCACCAAAAGAGAAGAAGATATGAAAGATAGAGATTCAGTTAATCCTAATGCTAATGCTAGTAGCCAACACAAGATGTGAATAATACTTCACAATGAGGTGGTACCATGAAAACAGTTTGGCTGCTTTGGCTGTTTTCCAGCATTATGAAATTGACTAATACAACCATTTGTTTCATGAATCATTTGATTGGGTTAGTATTCAGTACTATAATGTGGCATTTCAGTCCTAATAAAAAATGCCATTCAAGAGTGCCCTCAAGTATTTCCTTAAAAAAAAAGAAAAAAGAGTGTCCTTATCTATTGAAGTAATCATAACTAGTTTCACAACTAAGTTCCAAGTAAGCGTGCAAGAACAACAAATGAAGTACACAACTTACACTACAAAATACTAAGAAAGTTTTTCTTGCTTTAGTTTACTTTCTGTTTCAAGATCCCTCTTCTCAATTCCAAGAAAATGCTTCTTCTTTATAGTTTATCCTCTTTTTTTTCTTTCTTTTTTTATTTCTCTATTTTTTTCTTTGTTTGTTTCCATTTACACTTCAGAGATGAAGCACTGAGTTTAATAGATTAATAAAGTACCAGAAAAACTGATCCATAAAATGATTAGTTATTACCAGATTGATCCATCACAAGTAGATAATTGTCAAATTTGAATGCTATTTTGTTCTTTTACTTGGAGAAAATGGAATCTGGACCCACTGAAAGTAAAATAAACTAGCCCTTTTTTCGGAATTTATTTCTTTATCAATCAGCAAAATTTACACTATTTTTACGTTAATTTATACTAGAAGATCGATCCCTCAAATGCAGCAGAGGGTTACTGGGAAAGAAATTCACTTCTATCCTAGAGAGATGCCATCAAGAAATGCATTCTATAGTTGCCTTGTGGTTGATGACTAGGGTTACGTACGAATCGAGCCGTTCACAAACCAATTACGAATTAATTGTGGACAGTTTGAATCAAAACTCGACTCGAACTTGATCAACACCAAACTTGAGTCGAGCTCGAGTTCAAATTCAAATTCAAAAATACTCAACTCGTTAGCTCGCGAGCCGGTTCGACTTTATATATATGTATTTTTATTTTTATTTTAATAGTGAAATTACATATATATTCCTAATATTTTATTATTTATTAAAAATTTATTATTTTATTTATTTTTAAAAAGTAAATAATTATTTTTTTTAAACTCAAGCTCGAGCTTAATTCGACTTGAATTCGAGGTGGAGTTCGAAGCCGAACTTTATATTGAGAGTTCGAACTCGAGTTTGGTAAATTTAATTTGAGACTCGACTAGATTATATCAAAATTCGAATCGACTCGACTCAATTTACTGCCCTAGCAACTACCTAGTTGATTTGCTAGCCTACTTCTTCGGGATTTAAACTTTGAAAGGAGGGCTTTGTTTATTAGTATCCAGATACGTTCAGCAACCATATTGTGACTTTTTTTCAACATTCTGACGCTGGAAGATCACCAACACAATCGCATTACATAGGAAATTCTTTCACGTCACCACTATTGGTTGTTGCGAGTTATAATACATCTTTATACATCAAGAAACCACTAATAATTGACAATACACCTCCTTTTCAATTGATCAAATACAATAAGAAAATCCAATTATTTTATGTTGAGCTGCTTGCATTATTTTATTAACAACACTCTTTAGCACCATCGAAAATTGGATGTGGACATTCCAATTTTTTTACAGTATTTTGTTTAATCATTGAAGTTAGGAAAACACTTCCTGTTGCACCTCAAATCTGTCCTGGAAAGTATAATTGATTCGCAAATCTTTCGAGTTGACTCATGGGAACTCGTTGATTGCTGAGGAAGTAAACATTACAAGACGGTACCTATAACGTACAAGACAAGTAAAAATTGAAGAGTGACGAGGAAATATACTCCAACAGTGAGGCCTCTGAAATTGTCCGCTCTGGAATTTTTAGAATGCACGATAAGAGATTTGATTCTTTGACCTCTACTCAAATAGAGTCTTAAAATTTTTTTGATGGCTAGCTACTCTAGGAGTAATTGATTGACTGCTTTCTTCTTCAATATCTGCCATTGAAAGTTCTTCAAACGTTGATACGCTGTGTACTGTTATTTATTACTACTATAGGGACTATAACAAGAGAAACATATAACTCTCGAACATTTTTACACGTATCTTTTATAGTTATATGCTTATTGTTCAAATATGCAATTTGCTTGCAATGAAGTGGATTCACAAGCATGTTTTTTTGCACAAAGAAAAAAATCATAAATTTCTACGTCTTCTGTGAACAAAATTTTTAATTACTTTTTTATCTCACATACATCAAATCACTGCAGGACATTTTTCTACAAAATATTCAAAAAATGGCAATCCAAAATTTTCTAAATTCGGCGGCATTTTTTCAAGCATCTCCACCCAATAATGAAAAAAAAACATGTTATTGCAAAATTCTCGTTATTTAGCTTTTTTTTTTTTTAAGCTATCGCTATTTGAGAATTTACAAAAAGTTGCAACGACAAACAATAACAGATTGATTGCAACTTTGCAAGTGGACATTTGTCGGATTCGACTGCTAACCTGGACAAATTGGAATCTGGACCCGCTATTACTAAAAGAGACTAACCTACTTGCTTGAGCAGCTCGAAAGAGGAGTTTGTTTTATTTGGATATGCCCATTTAGGTTGCTGCTCAACGAGATGATTTTGGGATGATGTTTTCACTTTTCAATCGGCTCTCAATTGGTATAATACTTGTGCGGGCAGGGATCGGCCCTTCCTAAGCCGGTGCAAACGCCGTGGCAACATTCCCTCATTGTAAATCTGATGCTTAAGTTAGCAATCCAAATAGAATGTAAGGGGTTCGGCAGTGAACAAATAGCAAGTTTTAGACTTATTCAGTTACCTTCAAACGATGGAATGGAAGTATTTATAGGAGGAAAGATGATAAGGTTCATTGGTATCTGAACCCCCTAACGCGAGCCGACCTATCCTTACAGGGCGACGGATGTCAAATAGGCCTGCAAAAAATCACGTCGAGTGATTTTTATCTCGTCAATTTTATAACGTCACATCCAGACTATGGAGAGATTTGACTTTTCGAATTGCAAAAAAGAGAAAGAGTTGGAGGAGAAACTCCTTGACATCCTAGAGTCGAGGAGGGTTTTTCGAGATCCCCCAATATATACTAGAATACCGCCGGTTTGGTTAGAGGGTTTAGGAAATAGAGAATGAATATGACCATTAATGATTGTGTTTGATATTATTTGGTACTCTTCAATGACAATGGAAGTCCAAAAAGTCTCTTCAATCATCATTTTAGAGTAAATTGGGCACTTTGCTTGATTACCACCAAATCACAACAAAAATAGAAAAAGAAATCCTTCAACTTGTTTGCACGACTGTCTCTCCACCCACGCTTCCCAGCTCCATCTCCATCCTTGCCACCCATCTCTCCCTTATTCTACATCAAGGCCTACACTCTTTGCTATCCCATCGGCCCTCCTCCAAAACCCTTAAAAATTTTTTTCCCTTTTTGGTGGTTGATGACTGTATCCATATAGGATAGTTGAGGTTTTTCTGATTTTTTTTTTGGGCTGACTTGGGTGCTTATGATGAATTGATTCTTTGACTAGCACTTGGTGGTGGGCTTCTAGCTTTATACAAATCCAAAGCAGAGTACTTTGTTCAAATTCAATTGAATTTTTGCTTTTTCATGCAAAATGGATTTGAAGAGTTTGAGATGAAACTTTGATGTTTTGGGGACAATTGGTTCGTAGGGCTGGATATTGGGGCGGTTTTGCAGCTAGGATCTGCCATTTTAGGAAACAAGGAAAAAAAAAAGAAGAAGAAATTATTTGTTGTAATTCAAAAAAATATCCAATCGATTCCCATTTCAGCCTGCTACCAAACAAGTGAAAAGGATTCGCCAGAACCTATTACCATCGAGGATCTTTTTATACTCAGTGCCATTGCCATTCCCGAGTCCAAACCAAACCAAACCGCTTCGAATCCTCTGTCTCCAAAGTAGCCTCTGCCCCCTCTATCCCTTATTTGTACAGCTACCACGTGTCTTTAGCCTTTTATTAACCCAAACTCAAATAAAATTACAAGTTTACTCAAAATCAATTAAAATAGATAACTCAACACTTTATTTTATTTTCTTTTTAACAAAAAAGAGTCTTGTTGATCATAAACATAGAAATCAACTAAAACTCTTCTTTATTTTTTACTCCAAATAATCTTTTTCTTAAACCCTAACAAGACTCCTTTTTGTTAAAAATAAAATAAAAAAAAGTTTTAAGTTATCTGTTTTAATTGATTTTGAGTAAACTTGTAATTTTATTTGAGATTGGATTAACAAAAGACTAGAAATATGTGACAACTGTACAAATAAGGGACAGCGGGGACAGAGACTACTTTGGGGACAGAGGATTCAAAGCCAAACCAAACGGGTGAATACTCACAAAGCAAAAACCTCACCAGATTCTGCAGAATCCAGCAAGAGGAAAGTTGCAGGCTTGCACTGTTGCATAGTCTAACCATGTGATACCTGAGTAATTGATAGAATTGCAGTCAAGAAGTTCTGCCGATGTAATTTCTAATAAGGATTAGAAGTCAATCAAAAACTGAAAATTCCTAAAGATAGAAAGAAAAGATAACGATTCCATAATACTTACATTTCGTTCAGCCAAAAGAAGTACCAACAAAATAATGTATGGAACTATAAAATACATTGCTTGCTTGTTGATTGGACGGAAACAGTTTCCTTACACCTCGGTCCTTTTACAAGAAAGCAGTCATTTTTCTTCAATCCTGTACCTTAACAAAGACTATAAAATGCCATATAAAATCGGCAACTCTGCTCCAAGGAAGTTGATTCTGCAGCTAGCTAAAGAATTACAAGCCACGTCCACGCCCACCACCTGCCACCAACATTCAACCAGGAAAATCTTTCAATAAACAAACAAAGGATTTTTTTTCTAACGGGTGCCTAATGAACACTCGTCAACACACCTAAAATTCACCTAACCTAATCATATACATACACATACTAACAATTATTACCTTCCCTTGCATCTATATACTTTTCCTATTTAATCTTACCTACCCTTCCTTATATTTATTTACTTTTCCTAATTAATCTTACATTTTCAAAAATATGACACCTGAAATATATCTGAACGAGTACCCAATGGGCACCTGTTAGACAGACCTACAAACAAAAATGAGAGAACAATTTTAAGGTATTTAGAAGACAACTCTTTGTTCCCTCATCATTCAAGTCATAACAGAGGCAGAGAAAAAGCAAGTGTAAACTTGCAAAGGTTGTTTGTGACTGTAAGGAGTGAAGGAAAAGTCTTATCTGGGATCATTCAGAAGTCTTAAAATGAGAAATGCTATGTTGAAAGTTCTTAAGACACAGCTCTCTGATGCTTGCTTCTTAATAACCAACAACTTAGACTGCAAATTCATACCTTTACCACCACCAGACCTGCCAGATGGTCCTCCCTTGCCCCTGCCTGCACCTTTGGCAGCTCCATCATCCATGCCACGCCCAATTGGTTTTCCCTGTCTCCCAGCAGCACTGTCATCTCTACCTCTTCCTCTTCCACGCCCAACGCCTGGTGGCTTTCTATCTGAAAAGTATGTAAAAGTGGTCAGGATTAGAAACCATTTTTGACCATAAACTAATTTAATGTGCTGAATTCCACATTCAGTACACAGAGAAAAAGCTATTTAACTTCTTTTTTTTTTTACATTGATCAGAAATATTGGAATCCAAAAAGTAATGAAACATACAGTACATCTCTTGTACTTTAATCTGTTCAATTCATCAGAAATACTGGAATGCATCTCCAAAAAGTAATGAAACATATAGTAAATCTCTTGTTCTTTAGTCTGTTCAATTACATTAATGAAGTTGGAGATTTAACAATAGCTTGGTAACAACAATATATCATTCGCTCAAATGCTATTTTCCATTACTTTCTTTCCTTCTATCCTTGATATTTTTGCCCTCAATAAAATGATTTCTATACAAGCATTACTGTGCTTTTGGAACAATCCAACATCTATAATGTACTCTTTCATTCTCAAACACATCGTAATATACAAGGCAAAATGTCTTTGGACAGGCTGTAATTATTGCAACAAGATTGTTCGTACTTATCTGATTTGCTACTTCCTCCTGGTTGATTGCCGCTTTGAAATGTATTACTTACTCAGAATACAAGACTGATGCAGAAGTAACAAAGGGAAATTTCTGTCTACATCAAAGAACCCATACATACAAGTTTCTATACCACGAGGAACCTACAATTACTTGTGCGCCATCCAATGAATGAAGTAGAAAACAAATTTTATTGTGAATTTCAGATGATTTAGAGAAGGCATCCACAGAAGACATCCTTCTTTGGGCTCAATCATATACAGAAGTAAATCAATACTATAATTAATACCTGAACGGGTTTTTGTTTCTTCTTGAACCTTATCAATCACCTGGAAAAAAAATATTTGAAAAAGGCACAATTATTCAGCAATTTAAAAGAGTTAAGCACATTGACATAATTGAATGACACGATAAAGGCAAAAGATACACAAATAATCAGTATCCTGAGAAAATCAAAATTCATCAATCCAATATATCGTGCAAGGCAAAGAAAAATTGACATGTATTTTCAATGGAACCCAACAATGTAATGTATAGCCATAAAGTCCCACCCAACAGGTTATGCAAATTGATAATCAGTCAGTTGTTTTGCAGGCATACTCCTAAACAAAGGTTTTCAGTCCAATTACAAAGATAGCAAATAACCATTTAAAATGCTCTGTCCTATGGAAACAGAGGTCTCAATCCTGCAGTCAAAAGATCAAAGTTGACCATCTACAACAATAGTGACATCATAAAATCTGAGAAGTGAACAGTGACAAAACCTAATTTCTACATCTTCAAAAATCTACTCTGTTACAATAAACATTTTTGAACTGGTTAGAAGAAAATGATGTAAGCACAATTAGAATAAGGACCAGCCAACTTAAATTAGGGGTAGAAGGTTTAATGAAACATAAAAGTCTTTACCAAACATGTCAAGTGACAACAATTCCACACAGCATAGAGGAAAGAATGATGCTATCTTGGAATAGAGTAACTGGATATGCAAGAAATAAGCATCATTCTAATGATCCAAACCAAATATGAGCCAACTGCAGGATACAAAGGGACTAGACCAATGATGTATTACCTTGACTTCCTAGTTTTTATAATTCCCTAGTTCCAAACAAGATCCAGTTTTAAAAGAAAACACAGTCGACATATCACCAATCTTTGAAGAGTCATCAAAGGATTCAAAGCATACCAAGGTTCATATAAAAATCTACAAAAAGGAAAAACAGATTAGCCACATTCTTCAACCCTTTACTGCCCCTATCAACTGTAGATGAAATTGACAGTGTGATAAAGTTCCTTCAAGGGGTTGTATAAATCATGTTTTTAAGGATGTGATCTTCACTCATGGTTGAGCTAAACAACTACCTAGGATCTTATAACAAATAGTTCAAGAAATAAAGGCAGGGTTGATTGGAGAGAGACAAGGAAAAAGATCATAAAGAAGAGGCTCTGGTCAGCAAGGAACCCATCTCTGTACTTTTGTCATCACATAGATGCACTTCCACTTTATGTGCCCCAATTAAAGTTTAAACAACTGCATGGAAGCATAACAATAAAATGCCTCCAGATATTACCATTGCTAAAGACTTCAAAAGAAACACTTTAAGGAGCACATCAATGTCTGATTTGGCTAAGCTGCATCACTCCAGAGAGGGAGGGAGAGAGAGAGAGAGAGAGAGAGTGTGTGTGTGTACATCTGACGCCTAAAAGTATAACTATACCTTTTGAATTTCGTTGCAGGAAGAAGAAAAATTCTAGTTCCTAGAATACTCTCATGACAATATTTTAAGGGCTTACCAAACAGCAGAAAGCTTCACTCTAAAGCTAATTTAATGGATAAACCTATATACAAAACAGTTGTATCTGAGTAGGTAAAACATTCCAATAAAACAAGTTAGCAAGTGGTCCTCCAAAATCAGTGTGCAAAATCAAAAGCCATTCAACGAATGTAAAACATTCCATTTGGAGGAGCATTTTACGTCTGCCAAAATCAATGTGCTCAATGATAAACCATTGCAGCCAAAACCAAGCTAGAACAAGGTGGATGTCTTCCCAATTGGACCATTAACATAAAGAAAAGAAGTGATGCCAGGGCCTCATCTATGATGGATGACATTTAGGTATCAAGTTTTAACTAAGCGTGGCAAAATACAGATAGCACATACGCTTAAAAGAAAATCCTGGCTTTTATTAGTGTTAGCAGATGCCAAACACAAACCAGGAAGAAGCAGAAGCATATAGATGTCAAAACAGAGAAGGAAGAGAACTGAAGCAAACAACAAATCTGCATATTATGACTATGAAGTGAACATACCTCATCTGGAACTCGTAGATACTTGATTGTATTACCACGAATATAACATTCTGGCATTCTCCAAAATCTGTCTCCATCCTGCATTTACTTTTCATTAAGCTACACCCGTAATACATGAAACACCAATGCATAACAATCAGAGAGATGATAAACAAGTCATGGTAGCAAAAATTCACCTTTGATGTGCAGATGACTTCACGAAGATGGATATTCATCCAAGTGTCACAATTGACAAGGTGTCCATTATATGTTTCCCCATTTTTTAGCTCCACCAACTGTAATAAGAAAACAAATTTTACATGAGCAAGCAAATCCACTAAACAAGAGCATGTACCATCTCAACATTCATCTTGAGATAAACAGCGTAAACAATAACAAGGTGCCATTGATCAGCTCTTCAGATCATCCAAATATATTTTCAAGCCAAAAAAAATTACAGCAATTTTCCTGGCTGCTCCTCTGAAAATGTGTCAGAGAACACAGAAACAAACTAGAACCTTCTAGGTGTCATTGAGCTCTTAATTATGCTTTCCCACTCTGAGACAACTGCTTTTGACTTATTTCTCCTGTTGTACTTACTGCATGAGTGTAGCTCATACTGTTTTATGTATAAAAACAATCATTATTACTATAATCAAGAAATTACAACCTTAATTCCAAAAACATTCATCGATAAACTCTAAAAAAAGCACACAGAAAACAAGCCTATGCTTGGATCTCTGAGATGTTTGAACTTTTCAAAATGAACTCACACTGATAATGCATAAAAACAAGTCTAAGCACACTAAGCAACTCACAACCCTAATCCCTAGAATACTCACCTATCAAGAAAAATCAAAAAAGCACTCGACAAAAACAACAAATCTAAGAATGACTGCAGCACTTCTTCTAAAAACACGAATCTACCAAGAAACATCTGAAAAGCACGCCACAAACACACCCATAGTTGAACTCTCCACACAAACTTATTATAGCGAAATGCCCCGTAAAACAACAACACTACAAATAAACTTGCATAACAATTAAGGAAAATAAAAAAAGAAAGAAGAATAACGTGTATGAAATTGTTACCATGGGATGCCCTTGAGCAGTCTTAAGCAGAGAAAGTGGCAGCTGAAACAACGAAAAACAGTCACAAAAAGAAAAACCCAAATCAGCTAAAAGAACAATGAAACACCAGGGGCAGTCGTTTAACCCTAATTTTAAAAGCTAATGCCCGAACTTACCATTGCTTCCAATGCCAAAAACCCTACAACAACAACAACAATTTACCTGCAAAGAGGAAATAAAAAAAGAAACCCAATTAAGAATCAACAAAATCAAAGCCGAATTAAGTTCCACTACTTGAACAAACACGAATATACAGTTTCTGGGTAGCTCGTAAATTTAAACTACACTAGCACATTGAGTCAAAGCCTCTGGTATACTAAGCATACGAAAAACAAAAGAAGTTTTGGAAAATCATGTTGGAATCTTGAACAAATAAAAGAAATCAAAGACGAAAGAGATAGAAGAAAAGGAGAGAAGAATTACTTGAATTGATCCCCACGAGAAGAAGGGATCGGACAGAGCTCGTTGGTGGCCGGAGTGAACTTTAAAACTTTTAAACGAGGCTGGAGAAGGGTTTTGTGATTTGGTAGTCGGCAGTAGAAATGTAGAATATTATTTTATTTGCAAATCTAACCCCCGTAGTTTTCATTTTTCACAACTTTGCCTCCAAGTTTCCGTCTTGCTGTTAAACTTCCAATAAAATTCTTGAGTGGACTCGCCCGTGTTCAGCGTAAGGGTTTATTATGAAAATGGTTAAATTAAAAGTTGATTTGATCTACAAAATGTTCTTCCACTCAAAATTTAATAGTGTATTTTTCAAAAGGAATAAGAAAATTAGTATTGAAAGAGATATTTTTTCTTTAACAATGGGGATTTAACCATATTCTTCAAGCTTGATTTTGTCTACATAATTGTTTTAAGTTTTTTTTTTTGGAGCAATTATTTTAAGTTTTACATAGTTATTGGGTACAATGTGAGTTTATCCACTTTCTAAAATAATTTTACAAAATAATGAAAGACATTAATAAGAGAAAAGGCAAATTTTTACCTATAATTTTATTTTACTTTCAAGAACAATTAACTATGTATATTAGAATTGGTAAAACAAGTAAGTCAAGCCTTTTTTTTTGGTGAAACATATAATTAGAGGCGGTTTGTTTCCTATTATCTTATCTATTCTGTTTCCCAATTCACATTTGAGAATTGAGACATCCCAACCTGGATTTGGTATTTTGCCAGTAAAAATGCCATTGAACCCATGGATAATAACGAGTGATTATAGATAAATTGATTATTTCTCGCAGCACTCAACAAAAAAATCCGTTATCGTCCAGCGGTTAGGATGTCTGGCTTTCACCCAGGAGACCCGGGTTCGATTCCCGGTAACGGAATGTTTTTAACATTCTTTGAATCTTCACTTTTTAGCCAATCCCCGCCCAAACATTCTTTTGAATCTTCACTTTTTAGCCAATCCCCGCCCGAATCCCGGCAATGGAATCTTGTAGCAAATAGCAATGCATCTTTTTCGGCTTTCCGACGAATTTCTCAATTACAGGTGTGATTTTTCTCACAAAATACCATGTCGCACTTTCCTTTTTTCTTTTTTTTTTTATCACGCTCCTCGTAAGAGAACAATAGAGAAAGGAGATGATTCCATTAAAAGATAAAAAATTCTATAATCCCTTTTGGGTACCATTTTCTTGACTTGTATCTCTCATTAAAATTGATAGTTTAAATTTAAATATTTTACAATGTTTAATTCAAGGTTCAATAACACTTCAGTCTTCATTCAACGATGAATTTTACTTATGACTATAATAATGGGACATAAGTTAAATATAACAAATTAACTAGTAAAAAGGAAAAAAAAGAATAAGCACGTTATAGCTAGTTTGGGAGTTCCGGAAAGAAAAAAAGAGAAGAGAAAGCCTAAGTTAGAAAAGAAAATAAAATACAAGAAGAGGTTATTTTATCTCTTCATGTTGCTTGGGAGTTTTTGGAGAGAGACAATGAAAAGATTTTTCTTTATTTGGGAGTAAAGGGCATTGAAAGGAAAAGATTTAATTTTACATAAGCACCCTTGAAACTTGAAATTCACATAACATAGAAAAACATGTGTTTGGATTGTAAGTTATTTGAGATATTTTTACTGTAGCACTTTTTGTGATTTGATGTATGTGAGATAAAAAGGTAATTGAAAAGATAAGAAGGTGTATTGGAAATTGTAATGGTGATGTAAGCAAAAATATTTGGGCAAATAACTTACAATCCAAACTTTCCAATTATATTATAATCTTCGAAAGGGCAAAATTGATATATTAAAACATTTACTTAACTCACGCTTTCCACCCAATTTTGGCCTGACGATTTTTGTAGTGTGAAAGGAGTGTGGAATCCCTCCCTCCTTTTCTTTCAATTTCTTTCCTGGTAAAATTCCCAAATGCCAGAAAGATTTCACTTTCTTTCTTAGCCCTCTCTTTTCTCACCACATCCGTGCCCCCAAACAGGCAAGAGAAAAAAAGAACTAGAAATGAGAGATGGTTCCATTTTCACTTCCATCACATCACAGAAGAAAAAACATAAACAAACTCGAGGCAACAAGATGCCCATCATCATTTGGAATTAGGTACGATCAGACACAAGCAGAAAAATTTACGAGCACCATGTGACAAAGATGATTTTGCAGGAAGAAGAACAGACTGGTTCCAGCATTTTTCCATTGCAGCTCAAGGAACTATAACTGTATTTAGCTCTTCAGCATTTCTGCCCCCGCACCCTTTCCTTAAATCCTCACAATAATCTCAAATTTTTAGAAGGTTGTAAAAACGGAATAAAGAATGTTGTATGCAGTCTCGGACGAAAATTTTTGGATCTACATACGCAGAGCAAAAACACTGCTGGATGAAATCTCAAAAATAGATGCTGATTATACCATATCCTATTTTCCAATGCCAAGTTCTTTTGATATATCTCTGGTCAAGCTGAACTGCATAGTGTTGTGCCACGGGAATAGTGTCCGAGTAACTGGAAGCTTTCTTCGAAGGTCCTGCAGCAGGCAAAGGAAAGCAGAAGAAACCTTGTGAACATCTCTAAATCAGCATGAGAATTGAGGGTGAAACATATTACTAGCATATATAACCCCTACACTTGCTGGTAGAATTAGACCAACACTCCATCTCAAAAGCATCACATATAAATGGTTAGAAACATAGTGGTGCAAGAACTGACAGGCGGAACAATTGACAGACACAGGTCCTCTTAAGGCTTACAACAAATACCAGCAGAGCAAGTTATCAAAATGTCACTACACTACTGAGCATAGAATAAAATTCACATAATAGGCACAAAGAGAAACCAGATCCACCAGAAACTTCATTTCATGAAGATGATCCCAGACCAAATGAGAGCCTAGATTTACCTTGAAAGTTGTATCAGGCAGATTCAAATAAGATGTCTGTCAATAAACAAATGTCAGTCATAAACTACTAAGTACAAACACTTCGGAAAAAAATCAGAAATTAAGATTTGGAGGAGTACTGAACCTGAAGAGAATTGAGGTACTCCGTCTCATGATGGCGAATTATATTCACCACAGAAGCAGCACAATCATCAGGCGACTGAAGATATGTAACATACATGTCAGATAGAGATTCAAATAATCTGTTTTTTTGATCATTCAGAACTTTCAAAGCCCCATAAGCCAAACCCACGGGCTCAACGCTCCCCTACGAAAACTAAGTACATGATTAAATAGATAAATAAACACATAAAAATATCACACCAACAGTTGCTCTTAACCTTCAGAATCCTCCACAACACGTATATAATATCTTGTTATAGTGCCCTATCAGACTCCAAAGTTCTTCTTCCAGAAGTGTTATTGCAACTCGTTAAAAAAAAAAAAAAGCATTTGTCATACGTAAAAGAAATAGGCAGCTATATCCAGTATAATGATTGAAGATAACTGTTGGAATCAGATCTTTTACAACCCATATTAGCGCATAATTCATTTGAGAGAGAGAGAGAGAGAGTCCGGAATTCTGAACCCCTAAAAAGATTTCGATTCACCAAAAATGTTGAGTCTAAACCACTCGAATGAATTTTACTTTACCAGAAAGTTTAGAAGGTTGCTAAAGTTATTATCCCATATTCTTTTAAGTGTCACAGAAAGCTATCCAAGACACGTGATCATGTTAGACATCCAAACTTTGCTTATGAATCTATATCTCAGGTACCATTCTGCAACACCGAATAAGCTATAGAAGTGTTCATGATTTGTGAACTAAAGAAAGAAACATAATTCCATTCCAGAACAAAATGTACAGAGAAGAAGATTTAAAACATGCAACAATTATACTAGATATAATAAAGAAATTTCAGGACAAACATTAGCATACTCTTGACCTGAAATGCAGTTGAATCCTTGCATTCATGTTTTGCATCTAATTGGACATTTCCCTCTTCAAAATAGTGGGCCCCTACCTTAACAGGAAAACATAAAATGTTACCACATTACACACATCTTTCTCGGCATGAGTATACATAATCTTGGATAGTAAACAGTACAAGGTAAAACAAGGAGAAAACTTCAACAAAAGAAATCTTACTGGACACTCATAATACAAAATAACAAATCACACCTCCATTCTGCCTCTCAGTTCCACAATTTGTAGCTCATCCTCAAACACAACATTCCATATTGACCGCCAACTTCCATTGCTGCACCATTACACAACGAGACAACTATTTAAGCAGCAAAACATAAATAGAAGAATGCTGTATCTTACTCCTCTTAATTATAGCTAACCATATCTGGTGAATGCAACAACTCCTAGGTCTCAGCATCAAGATTTCATTTTATAAGTTCTTAAATTTTCACAATGTTGTCATCAATAAGGAGTGCTGGCAACCATGGCCTTGTCTTTCACACTATTTATTGTACAATCGTCCATTTTTAGACTGAAAGTAGGGTAACGAAACTCTCCACTTTCAGACTGAAATCAGACACCAATATCAAGTTATAAATTCTTTCCAAATGCATTCGACCATATAGGATGCTTGTAGCACTCAAGGTGCATATTACATGGAAAAACCGGCACAGACATCAAGTTCTTAACAGAAAAGTGAGGCTTGAAGATGATCAAGACTTTCTGTATTTATGCATTCCCCTCCCACTGTTTTATCTTGGAATTCCATGCACAGACAGTTCAAGGTTTTTTTTTTTTTTGTGGGTGGGGAGGTGGGGGACGAGAGGGAGAGAGAATCAACTCCATTGAAACAATTTTGATATCTTTTACCACAATAATTTCAGAAATTATAGATATCCTTTACCACAATAATTATGCACATATGATAGCAGATGTTCAAGCCTATATAGGACATTGAAACAATTTTGCAGAACCTTCCTTTGGCCAAGCTCAAATGCAAATAAAAGTAGTGATACTTTTCTTTGTAACTTTGGAGCAACTCATGATAAACCATGCAGAAAAGATTGCAATTCACCAGTAATTAATTTCTTTCCAAACGTCCATCATTCCATGGCATAGGAAAGCGTAATTAAATTTTTTTCTTGAAGTAATACCACAAAAGTGTAGCCTCACTTGCAAGATTTCATAAGAAATAGCAAATTAAAGGTTTGGGATACCCCACAATGACGAGACTATGCAACACATAAAATACATAGGAAAGTAAACTAAAATGCCTTGATGGAGTCTCAAGTTCAAATTTGGAATGACACAGCTATTTTTGGTTTTTGTCTAGCAAAAGACAAGCATTAGCTTCTAATTGGTAGTTTCCTAAACCATTTCAAAGTTCCTTACTTAATTCCGAGAAATCACAGCACATGGGCATTGGCATACCAGAAATTTTGAGGACTATGTCTAGAAGCTAAAATCACCACAACAAGCTCAAAATTAGATCCAGGTTCTTCCACATGCTTTCCTTTGGTAGAGTAGACTGAGCATACACCTTTCGGATAAGCTTCGCCAACATACTTGCTAATTTCTGCATCCACCGCGCACCTGAAAAGTAACACCATCAAAAGGAACATGCTAGAAATCGTGGAAAGCAGTAACTTAGCAAAAGAACAGCACTTCATGAAGTAATATCAAAATTCTGTGACTGAGCTGAAAATAATTAGCTCATTGCAGTCATATAACCAAAACAGTGTGTACACTGACAAAATGCACCACAATTAACACAGATGCTCAAGAATTAGGGTCTTTGGAGAATAGACCAATAGAAGAACATTTATGCTGCAAGGTAACTATAATGCAGCTTTCACTGTTGCTCAACATATAATGAAATGTTAACCTCCAAATAAATCAATGTTTGAGAATGCTATATGTCCCTCACATCCTCCATATGCTATTACTCACTCAGGTAAACACAAACAAACTTTAAGCAATTAGTCCTCGTACTTATATGCCTGCTTAATCATTACAGAGAACCCTCATTTGTGTTTCTATTAAACATATGTAACTCAAAAGTTTTTCCAAGCCTCTAGGATGTTTTAAAAAAAACGAACCAACTACTTCAATCCTGCAGATGATAGCCAAATAATAAGTTCAACCCTCCTAAATAAACTTCAAGAACATTTGAGGTGGTAAACTGTCCTATATAGAAGCACTTACAAGCACCTAAACCAATGTAACATGTTCTTAGAAAAAAATTAGCATGAAGTTTTTTTACCAAAAAGAGATCCAAAAACATACCGATATTCCTCTACATATGCAGATGGCAGTTCTTCATCACTTGCCGGTCTAACTTCTGTGCAAGCCTGAATAAGCAGTGCACTTTGTCATATCTAAGAATACACAAGCCAATAAGCTTATTTCTCAAAAAAGTGAAAAACTAAGGTACACCTGCTGAAAGGAAACAGCAGTAGAAAAGCCTAAGTTCATTGTCAAGACGTATTCAGGTATCTCATTTACAGACTCCAAGACTCAAGGCAGTACAAAATAAACAGACACCTTACCAAATTAGCAAAATTAGGGCTCTAACACACTAAGTTTTTCAATCGACAGAGTTCACTTAGCAAACCTACAAAACCTAATGCAATCCCACTTAATGATCCCTGGAATGAGGAAATGAAGAGCAATTTACTCAGTCTTGTAGCTGAGGGGGGACGAGTGAATACCTGTAATAGAATTTCCCTTATTGACATTAAGGCTACATTGCATCTCTAAACAATATAAAAGGCCTCAGAAAGCATATTCTATTGGACCTTCCCATTAGTTCAAGACAAACCAAACAGGTACCCTTGCTTCCACCTCGTCAGCATCTTAACTTTATTGCTTGCTTTTTCAGCTTGATGGGGCAAAATCACGGGCACATATAGCCAAATTTTTTTTTTCAAAAAGTCAATATCAGTTGGGCTGATAAATGGAAAAAAACTTTATACTACGTGTATTAAAATAGCAAATTTGACTGGTAAAAAGCACAAGTGTTTCCTACTAGACCAACTCTTTCATCCTCTAGTGGCGCTTCTTGATCATTATGCGTTTCATCACGAAAAGAAAACAAACCATAAATTAATCCAAAGGAAGAGCAGAGAATAATTCAAATCCATAATGAACTGGATGATAAAGAGCAAATTACTTGCTTAACATGGTTAACCACAGCCACTTGGGCAGTCCTAGGATCAAGATATTCATCTTCAGTAATCTCACTAAACGATGTCACCATCACCTGTACATATAACATCAAAGCAAAATTAAAACACTCAATACTTCATGTACAACACTACAAGCAATTCCAAATTTTAGGAACAATAAATCCTTCCTAAAGGAAAAAAAATTTGATTTTTATATACAGGAGTAAACTAATCACATGAACCTAACACCATAAATTTCAAAAATTAAGGAACCTAAATAAACAAAAACTTCTAACAAGATCAACTGCCCATGCAAATGTCTCTCTAGTTGTAGGAAAGTTCCCCCAGGCAAGCACAACATAAACCACGCTCTCCACGATAGCAGAAATACACTACCAGCAGAAACATGCCTACACTAAAAAACACCTCCATCCCTAGCTCTGCACAATTCACGTACCATAGCAGCAAAAACCAGCCTTTTGAACTGATCAACGTGAGAACTGGAAGTCCAGTGTTTAGCTAACCAATTAAGCTCCTCCTCCTCCAAGTATACTGACCGATAAAGCTCCTAAAACTCGGCTAAAAATTATGAGGCAGTGGATATATAAAACCTATCTCTTTACTCATAATCGGGTTGCTGCTCCATCAAGACAGGGTACACAGGATGCACTGACTATCTCTTCCTAAAGAAGGCTATAACCTTATGTTTATAAGTGGGGTTTATCCACCAGCTGCCCAGTAAGCATTAATTAAATGGGGATTGTCAGTTTCTTGGAGAAGTTCAAGTTAAATTAAGAAAACTGACAAATGCAATGGCAAATTAAGAAGTATGCATTTAATGGTAAAATTCTTAAACTTGCAGGACTTCAATAGAAAGAGAATTATTAAACTCGCATGCCAATAACTGTGCATAAATTATAGAAGCATTTATTTCAGTAGTCCAAAAAATGATTCAGCCTAAAAATCCAACACAATACTGGCCGGAAAAAAAATTCAAAACAAAATAGAAAACGGCATTGGAAAAAGGAAGGAAGCGAAAATTACATCGCCACTTCGGTCAGGAAGTTGTAGGCAAATCATGTGAGATTTGTTGTACAGAGGAAATGCCTCCGCTGCCGCTGCTTCATATACATTTTCATCTTTCAAAACCGCTTTAACATCTGCAGCCGGCGGCCCCCCCAAACATGATAATTGTCAACAAAAATTCCCCAAAAAAAAAAAAAAACCACAAAGTTGTTAGGCGATTAGATTATTGTACCCAAAATAAATAAACATACCTTTGGCTACGTATTGGATTTCGCCAGGGGGAGAATTGATGAGGAACCATTTTGCAATTTCTAGTTTTTGCTTGTGACTCAGCTCTTCCGGCTCTGTACTCGTTTCTTCATCGTCGTCTGACATTTTTGTTTCTTTCTTTTTTTTCGGGTAGTAAATTTTCACACACAGTCACACCTTCCACTGTGTGTGCAGATCCCGAATTTATTACCAGATTCTAATATTTTGTGATGATCTGTACTGTAACTAGACCTGCCGTGCCGTGGGGTTACGGTTTCCGTTTTGTTTCTCATTTTATTTTAAATGGAAATGTGATATTTTTTTTATCTCCACTTTTGCTGTAAATAGGTAAGTATCACAGTAATTTTAATTTTCTGAATTCATTCTTTTTACCCTGCACTTTATTTCCGGTTTAAATATAAGTTACATATCATGTATCGAAACTCATTTAGTTTTTAAAAAAAAATTGAATTGTAGCAAATATTAACAATTAAATATAATCTTGTTAATCACCCTGACGATAATACATTGGAAATTTCAAATCTTACAAAGAGGAAATATATTGATAAGATAATTTTCAGATTAATATCATTGCGTTTTTTGACTTATTATTATTCCAAATCAACTCGATTAATAACTGATCAAGTTTAGATATTTCACGTAGCAAAGAAAAGGGGGGGGGGAATACAATGCTCCGATATGCCAATAGGGCCGGCAGAAATTGAATTATTATTATTATTATTTTGGCTAATTCTCAAGCACCATTTCAGCTTTAACTAATCATACTTCTTTGGACTCAAATGGTTGGTGTGGAGACCATTTGAAATCCACTTTGCGTCCACTATGAGAATTAGAAATGACAAATACTGCATGTTTGCACAAGAGTTATTTGAAAATGATTTTCGGAACAATAAATAATGTATGTGAGATTTTTAAAAAGTGATTAAAATATAAAACAACAATTAAGAAGTGCATCATGATACAATCAAAAAAATTTTGGCAGATTACTTCATATCCAAATGGTTTGATTCCCGATGATCATACAGAAGATGCAAATGAGACCCCTGCTTTGTGCCTTTTAGTCATGTGCAACTCACAGGGTAAAAGTTCAAATTTCAGATACAGCTTTAAGGATCTTTTTCTAAATTCCATTTAACCTATCACTTATATATATATATATACACATATTAACAATTATTATTTTCTTTTACATTAATACATTTTTTCTAATTATTCTTTTTACATTTGTATACTTTTTTTTTTAAATTAATCTTATATTTTTAAAAATTTAACACCTAAAATATATTTTAACGAATGCCAAAAAAGCACTCGTTAGACAGACCATAACTTTAATAAAGGTTTATTAGTTGTTTCCCAGAAATCAATCTACTCCAGGTGCTAATGACTCCAATTGGCTAGACAAGACAAGAAAACAGAAAATTGTTTTTTAAAAAAAATCTATTTTAACCTTAAATTACACAGTTGTCAGCAAAAACTGGGGTTAGCAGGACTATAGAAGCTTTCATACATTGATTTCCTAAAGTCATTCAAAGCCTTCAATGGATTAACTCCTTGACTATCAACAAAGCCGTCATTAACCCGAGGAGTATTATTCATTAATAAAACTCTAGCTGCAAAACCCATTAACTCGGCGGATTCCATGTAACCATGATTCCTAGAGCCAATTCCACCTTCCCAGAACAAACACATTTTAGAATTCCGACTCTGTAAGCTTCTTTCTTGTAACTGGGTTTGGTCTACTTCTACTTTTTCAGTTGTTAAATTTTTCCTCGGGGATAGATGGTCTTCAAGTCGTGTATAAGTTTCCTTGCCAAGCGAACCCCAATCAACCTGGCGCAAAATTCCAGCTGATTGTTCAGTGACCTTTGTAGGGTAATTCTGAAGTTGAAGTGATTGTTCAATCACTAATCTTTCAACTTGAGCTTTTAACCTCTGCAGTCGATCGCGTATTCTAGCAATCACGGCATCATACAGCTTCCCTCTGGACATATTCTGGTTTTCTTCCAAATTGAGTATATCATCAAATTGAATGGGGTCACCGATAAGTACAGTAACCTGTAGTTGATGATCGATCAGGCCAGATCACAGAAAGATAGCTTATCGGATGAGTGTTCCAAAATTGACTATCCGAAAACAGAAAGCTCAAGATGATGCTTTGAAACTATCACAACTTTCCAAAATAAATAGCACCACTTGGTGAAACAAAAAGTACTTACCGTCTTACCAATCCTGGGAAGCTTGGCTCCTATTGGCATTATATCTTGCATGCCAGTGTGCACAAATGGGAGAACTATTGGTACATTGTCAGCATCTAAGATCAACCTGTTACAGTTATTGTCAAAGTGCAGACATGATCCAGTCAATAGGATAAATTTGGCACAAAGCATGAAAAATCCAGGGTGCAACATTAAGCAAAACAAATGCAACGTCAACTATAAACTACCATATCAGATAACTAGACACCCATCCCCTCCATCAAGCATAATAACCATAACAGATGCATATAAAAAAGAACCTACTCAAAATACTTTGTCATGGTGTCTAAACTAGATTGCGTTCCTCTCAAGTTATTGAGCTCTTGGTTCACTCTGAGCTGCAGTACTTAGTTCTAAACAGATCATAACACATATCTACTTACAGGCCAGATTGAAAAATATATACAAGACATATCACCTGATGCATTTTCTAGCCTGGTAACAGCTTTTAGTTCTTACTGCAAAAGCAAGTAGAACCAATTGCAGAATAAAGACTTTTTTTGACAGCTTATTCAAGCTATAAAAGCTTATGTGAATAGTTTCACAGCTCATCTCGTTTGCAGAAACGGGGACAAATATGGTACTGTAAGAAGTTATCACTATCATATCAAAAGTCATTTAGATAATTTGCACAATTTCAAATCCTCACAATGTCACAATAATTGAGACATTAAAGAAAAGACAGACATCATGTTGCAATACAATCTTGTCCACCTTGCTCAGTCAATCTCATCCCATAATCAAGAAGCAACATCTAAATAAAAGGACAATTGTTTTGCCAATTTCCCTCAGTAACTTAGCCCAGTCCCCCCGAGGCCACCCTCCAACAGGAAAACAATGGTTTTTTTTGTGTTGGGGGGGGGGGGGGTTTGGGGGCGGGGGGAAAGTCACTAGGCTTGAATCAGCAAACCATGTACCAAAAAGCATATAGGAATAAACCACAATTCTTTAACCTTTTAAAAGGGGATGAATTTCATTCACGAACAAGATTGCTTAAGAGATTTCTCACCTGCCGACACCTCTCTTAATAGGACCTATGGTTTTCCCTCCATCTCGAGAACGGCTGCCTTCGGGGAATATGTGAACCCACTCACCACGATTCAATTTGGATATAGCAACATCCATTCCCTGAATCAAGTTATGAAGAAGAAATTAAGCCAACTTTGAAATGATCAGATTGTAGAGAAATTTGCAGAGATAGATGACATTCAAGCTATTAAGCTGTGAAGAAAAAACAGTTGCATGTACGCTACAAGCTACACCACTGACAAATGTTCACCATGTTCAATTGCTTGACCTATGAAGTGACAAATGGTCGAATACAGGGGGAAGAGAAAACTATTTTCACAAGTTCGAATTGAAAGCGAGGCATTAAAAGAATGCCGAAATAATTTTAAATTAACCTATTTTTATTACAGATTAGTTGACAAAATTAGCATCTTGAGACCAGAACAGGCAAATAAAAATTACAAAGAATTAAAGGTCCTTAGGAGAAGCTGCACCAGCTTTAATATCAGCCACAGTTTAAAAACGAGAGCACCCTCAATTGAGCCCAAATTAAAGCATCTGAAAACTTGACAGCTACACAGAGTTTGGATAATTAAACAAAATATCTGCTTCCTTAGCACAAGCTCACTAAGCACATAGTTTTACACCTTAAAGAAATGAAGTCTGAAAAGTGGAGATGAAAATATGATCCCATGTATACATAATATCTTTAAAAAAGTTGCAAGTTCAAACAATGAAGTACCTTCTGATAAATACCATCACCACGAGAAACTGGAAGCACTTTCACATATTTAAAGAATGCAGATGTCAAAGGGTTACGAAAGCATCGATCAGTTGCACAAAGTGTCCACCTCAAGTTATGAGCATCTAACAGAACATTTCGGGGAAGTAAGGCAGCAAGAACAAAGGGGTCATCTACGGCAGCAACATGGTTGCTAACCTACATATGATTTAAACAGCTTAGCGCAATCAGATGATTATTTTTATGGGCAAGGGAAAATGTAAACCAATTGATATTACTAAAATACAACAATGAATTGGTGTACTTACTGTAACTAAGGGCTTATTTTCTGGTCTACCTAAGACAGCCTGGTGAAGTTTTTCTGCACCATATATCTGTGATGCAAGTCATTTAATTGTTTGTAACATGCCAAAAACACAGAGAGAGAGAATATTAAATTGTATCACCAGAAAAAATTTTCATGCCTGCACTCGATTCAGGCCATGCATGAAAACATGACAAACATTTCCAAAAACAGGAACAGCCACAGCCTGAAGCGCTCGGGTCAGGACTGAATCTGCTTCGAGATCAATGTCTTTACTAACTGCAATTATAAAGTTCACATATTATAAATCCAACTAATACAACTAGAAAAATTTCTCAAAGTCTCTAAATAACTTTCAGATCACATTAGCTAGTGGAGTTAGTTGATAAACTGCCAGCTACGATTCATGCCTGCTTCCCATCCCTACGTACTCTACCACATCCCCTCTTCTTAGAAATAGTTTCTTAAGGAGACACGGAGTACATGTACAAAAAGATGAGGATAGAGGGAAGAGTAGTAGAATTGAGAAGCAAAAACTCTTCTCTGTACATAAGCAAATCATCTTATGTGGAAAATCAGCTCTAAAAGAAGATGATTCCATACAGCGCAGAACGACTCTATCTACAATTTAACCCTTAAGATAAAAAATAGACAGACAGAAGGAAACAATTCCCTTTGAAGACAGAGTTGAATTCCTGGAACAATTAAGTCTATCTCCAATATTTTTGTCTCAGTTTGTTTAATCAACTAGGTCTGGAGATGATAAAATAAATTTGCTTTGCAGAAGGCCAGAGGTATACAGCTCAATGATAAAATTATTTCAGTACTGACTTTTAATATGATCCACCAATATTTGATCCAATGACAGTAAAAATGCAAATAAAATCTCAAAAAAAAAAAAAGGAAAATTTTCAGAAGTAGTTCCTTT